TTGGAAAATACTGTAAAAATGCTATTTGGTTCAACATTTAGTATAAACTGCTAATTTTACTATTAGTGCATATTTTTTTTGCTTCCAGCGGCTAAGTTAGATGTTAGGAAAGTCTCCCGTGGTCGTCTTACATCTAGAGCCATTACGAAACTCATGTAGGATCGCACTTTGTAATAAAATTAATCTTATTCACTTTTTCTCGTCCATTCTGTCTAAACTGGTTAATTCAATTAGGTCATATCAAGCTAAATTGCATAATTTTTCCTATTTGATTTTAAAAAATCGATCTCGTACGAAATCTAAACGGATATTTGACACAGACGAGGACCAACTGTAAAGTAGTTGATGTTTATAGACTATAATGAAGGAAGGAGGTGACTGACTCTCCTCGTTGGGGTAGCCTTTTTTATGGACAAAAAGGACAACTAATGTTTACACAAAAAAAAAATAAAGGACAATCCCACAAAAAATAAAATAAAAAGTTAAAAACAAAGTACAACTAATATTTAGTAAACTTATTGATGATTTAAAAACACCTTTATGAAAACCTTTAATTCTCTTATATTATTACTAAATTTAACGGGTAAATAAAAGTATATTGGGCTTCAGCGTTTTCACTACAACGACAAAGAAAGGAAATACAAAGAAGTGATAATTAATGTTAATTCTTTCTTTTCACAAGGCAAACAGCCGATCAAGCCATTACATCTTATCATAAAGATCTAACTACCGATCATTAACTGAAAAAAAAACCCAAATGAATAATATAACAACTTATCATCATCAAAATTTAAAAATAATTGACTATAAAAAAAATAGATTACAAAAAAAAAAGCTACATAATTACGAAATAACATACTGTGAGCAGTGACCAGCTGTGAGTTGTCCCGTGGCATAATCATATTTAACCGCACATATAGTTTTCACGACCATGTGCTTTTTCGTAATTATCTTCACATCCCCGGGGATCCGCGTAACGCAGCTCATCATCAACGACCCGGATTTAACGTCCTCCGTGAGCCGCGACACACCGGATAATTTCTCCCCCGAAATCTCCACCGCCACGCTCATATGGACCGTCCCCCTCGCCTTCGCCCTCCCCGGCGGTACGCCGCCTCCCCCACCACCGTCTCCCCGTAGTAAATCGTCGCCTCACCGCCGCCGAACCTGAACGCCGCCGCATTCGGGTTCCTCACCTTGACGTCGGCGAGAACCTTGGCGGTCCCGTTGCGGAGGCGGTTGAGGGTCTGAGGCCCGGCGCTGGTGACCCCGGCGACGGCGACGTGTGGGACCTTGATTTGGAAGGCGGTGAAGATGAGGATGAGGAAGAGCATGGAGGCCATGAGGATGATGGCGGCGGAGCAGCCGCAGAACCTGAGGAAGTTGCGGTGGGGGAGGATCTGCGAGGCTTCTTCAACGGGATCTGGGCCGGGAAATTGCCAGGGAGGATGAGGAGGAGCTGAGGGCTTGACTTGGGCGGCGATTTCCAAGGCCGTGGCCTCTGGGGTTTCTGGGTTAATCGACATGGTTTATGGGTCGAGAGATTCAGGCGGAAAGGGGAGGATTTGGGTCAGAAATCATAATCTGGAAATGGTGAAGAAAGAAGGGGATTGGGATTGGGTTTTTTCAGTTTCTTGTCGTGTGAGGACTGAGTAGAAGAGAGTAGAGGCGGAGAGGTAGTAAATTGGGGGAATGAATCAGGATTAGGGATTTGGGGGAAGTTCGGGGAAAGATACTCGTATTCTTCTTCTACTACTTTGTAGTTCGTTCGTACTAATCGTGTACTGTTGATTGGGTCAAGAAAAGAAGCGAGGCAACCAGCCATGTCTGGTGACTCAAAGGTAAGAATCAAATGATTAAAAATCGTATTGTCGGTTCCATTAGAAAATCTGAAAAATTTCATTATTGAAAGTAAAATTTACTGACGGTATAAAATGGTTGAATCACGAAAAAATCACAAGTTTAACATAAAATACGATAATATTGACTTTTCTAGTACAACCTCCAACATTGTTTTACCATTCCTTGTTAAAATTTGGTTATCCATTACGCGATTGCACATAAAATTACATTGGCTGCTTTAAAAGTATGATAATTGATAATACTTTTTTGTACATAAATACACACCGCTAATTTTTATGGGGTCGTTTGGATGGATCAATTGAAAAACAAGATAATTTGGCCAATTGTCTCATTTTACAAATTAAGTCATTTAAAACGAGTCAATCCGAGTTGCCTGCCCCACCTCGGGCAATTGTAATTACCTCTAAAGACAATTTGAAATTCTTCATACAATATTGCTTTATCTAAATTTTGCGTTGCCATACGGACAGCGGCGGATCCAAAACATAGTAGAGGACTTGGACGCATTTGAATAGAAGATTAGTTACCGTAAACAAAAAATAAATGATGACTATAGTTTTTATTACAAAGTCAATTGTACATGACAGTTTTTATATGCACTTGGATTATATGAATTATTCCAGAAAACAGAAAATATTTGAGAACTTTTTCCATTTATGCTCTGAACGCCTAGGCGCGCCTAGGCTACGCCTAATCAGGCAAGGCGCAAGTCAGGAGCCGAACGCCTGCCTTACGCCTAGCGCCTTTTAGAACCTTAGTTTTTTTAATAAACGGAGTGATACGGCGCTCCAACCGATTAAATTAGAACAAGTCTAGGGGACTGCCCAATACATCGTGGAGAAGTAAATGATTCAACGACGAGCTCGCAGAAGTAAAAATATGCTCGCCCACACTGTAAAGTATGTGAGAAATTAAAATATTGGATATTTTTTTAATGTTTCTACTTTCTAGTAATCAAACTGACAGATTGTGGATTTTGACATTTTTTTAATGTTGTGGTGTGTACGATATAAGTACAAGTTTGCTCTTATTTTAAAACTCGTGATGTGTTTGATAATATTGAAAACTAACAATGGAGATGTGTAAACATTAATCAGATCTGACGTTTTCTCCACTGAAGATTTTTTATTAAAGATTGATTGGACTGTTGGGTTAGAATTTGCGATAGATAGGGTTAGAACTTAGAAGTATTGTAGTGAAGTTGATCCTCTTCTGTTTGTGACTAATTGATACATATTGCTAATACCAAATAAATCTATGTGTTTTTTATTTTTTTTAGATTATTGTCTTTTTTGTATTGTCGATAGTCACGACCAATCTACATGATAAATTGAATTTCTGAAAAGTAATATAGTATTATGATAAATTCGAAGCAATATGTCTATGTTGTTCATATAAACGACCTAGATGTATAGGTCTAAAATTATTATGTCATTATGAATATCCCAAAAATTTATGAGAATCATGAATAAAGGTTTACCCATTTAAGATATCTATATTTTAATATTCCCATCTCCAAACTACTTCTAGATCATCGCTTATTTCATTTTAATCTGAGCTTGAACCTGAAAGGTCAAAAATGAGGAAAATGATACACAGAGTCGTAGTCATAGTCCATGGTACTGGAGGTGGAAAAAGGGACCTCCTAATCAACCGGTGAAAACAATGTGGAAATGACTAAATACGAGAGGACTTTGATTGAGATAGTTCACAATTTCATCATATTAAAGTAGTTTGGGGAGAGCAGAGGGAGAGAGAGGAAGTAGGAGTAATTTTTTTAAAGACCAACGGCAAAGCCTCCTAGTTCATAATATTAATAGATCAATCCATGGAGATGGTCATAGAATCTTATATCAACCATTTACAAAGGTTCGGTTTATACACATGGAAGGAATGTGTACCTGTACCAAAAGGGTTCAAATGACCCTTTGCTTGCCAAGTCGTCGGCATCATAATTTCCTTCTCTATACATACGAGAGACTTTAACCTCCCAATTAAAATAAAAAAGCTTTTCAATGTGTGCCTCAATTTGGCTAAATTACAAAAGATGTCATCGAATTGATTAGTTATCTCCTTCGGCTAAATTGCAAAAGATATCATCGAATTAGTCTACTCAAATAAAATTTACCACTAAAAAATAAAATAGAAAGGAAATAAACATAAAACTAACTGATTTGACGGTCAGTACTTAATCACTAAGTAAAAAGTGCATATTAAAAATCGAACCAATAAGACTTGGTGGTCGAATATTTTAAGTAATAAAAAATCTTGGAATGACTCAAAAGGACAAACAATGACATAAATAGACATGTGCTCGAACCTTTATTATATTCGCTCAGAGCGCCAGCGCTTGAACATGGTCTGATGGGGTCGAATAGAACACTAATAACGTTTAACCAGATTTTTCTAGTATAAATAGAGGAAACATCTTTAGAAAGACACTAGACATTGAATACACATTTACTCAAACAAAAATGGAGGGTCAAAGCCCTAATTTCTCCTTTTCTTCCCCAACAACATCACCTCTCGACCTTCTTCCCATCTCCTCCAACCCCAAATCCTCAATCCTGCTTCATCCCTCTTCCCTCAGCCTCAATCCCGCTCACGAACCCCAATCTGGCATACGACAGCTGGGGAAGTCGGGTTCCCGTTCGAGGGCGCCGATGGGTCTTGGATTTCGGAGGCGGTGTGGCGCCACTGAGCTCAGCTTTTTGTTCTATCTAGGGAAGAGCATCAGAAATAGAGAGGGTTGATTATAGACATCAGAGGTGGATCGATTGAATTTGAGATTGGGGAAGGAGGATTGTCGATTTCGTGACAATTTTGAAGCTAGGTCATGTGAGTTCGACTCAACGATTTTGAATCTCGGGAACGATTGAGGAAGATTAGTGGCCAGTGGGGGAGGTTTGAGGTAGAGAGAGACGAGATGGGGGCATCTGGATCGGAAGGAGATTTGAAGATTTTTGATGGTGGGGAGTGGTGGCCTCCTTCTCCGTCCAGTCCTTTCTGCCTCATCCAACCAGGAAGCCGCCGTTAATTTGGGTGGGGCTGCGGTCTTCCCCAGAGTCAGCGTCGGAGGGGGGTTCCCTGCCGTTAGGGTCAGGCCAGGTGGTGCAGTCGGGTAAAGGGTCGGGCCGATGATGGAGATTGAGTCGATGATTCGGATGGCGGGTCGGGTTAGGGTGATCCACTTCTTCACCCACTACGTGGAGAGTAAGGCCGCGTGCTGGGTTGCCATTTATGTCACAGATGGATCTATGCTTGGCTTCCATTGCTAGCTAGCTGTAGTAGCTTTTATTTCTTCTCCCCCTATTTTGGTTGGTAGATCGATCTCCTTAGCTAGGCAGTAGTAGTGTTTTCCCCTTTTTTCTTGATATGTGTACCAAATTTTTTGGTGAAATTGTAAAAAGAGCATGAGTTGGGGGCATCTGAATCGGAAGGAGATATGAAGATTTCGATGGTGGGGAGTGGTGGCGTTGGATAGTGGCGGAGCAAAGTTGAAGATGGCAGAGGAAAAAGGAAGCGTAGGGGAGGGAGAGTGGATCTGGGTGGAGGAAGAAGAAAACTCTTTTAATTTTTAGATTTTTTCTTTCATTTTCTTAATTATTTAATTATTTAATTTTAATTTTAAAATTAAAATTAAAATATGATATGATGACTGTCACGTGGAAGCCAGGTCATCATCGTAAAGGTTAGTCAGTATTTACTCACGAAATTGCTAACAAAGAGTTTATGTTTGGCTAATAATTTGTATTTCGATAGTTGAGGCTATAATTCCCCGGAACTTAATAGTTGTGGCTAATATATTGTTTTTACCCTAATTTTTTATCATGAATTTGTCTCACAACTTTTCCTTCTATTGTCAAATCCCAAATGAAATGTAGGATTTGCAAATCCGTGGGGCCACGGATTTGGATCTAAAAAAAGAGTCCATATCCGTGGGCCCCACAGATTTGTATCCCTTAACAAACAATGGATTTGTGTCAAGTCCTTGATGTTTGGGATTTGGGTGCCAAATCCATCACCCAAATCCCACAAGAAAACGATACCTATATCTAGGTAAATATAAAAGTCACAAAGTCAGAGCAATCCAACGTGTACCATACATCATAAACATTAACATAATGTCACATGGCCACACAATCTTCTCTAATTCTGATGAATTATGGTTTGCGAATGAAGAGGGGGCGAGATTTTCAAAATTAGGGTTGAGACTCGAGCATCAATGGAAAGTAAAGAAAGTGGTCGAGTGGGTTGCTAACACGAATTTAGAAGATTCTCAAAACCTAAACGAAATCGAAAAGCAATCACACATAGAACATGGGATTTACATGGCTTTCCCAACGACGAGCGTTGAGACTAGTCCGCGACACAAGGCGTTAGGTTTTCTTATTCACAGAATTTTAGTGTACATCAACACAGCAACCCGTACAAGACTATATATTGGTTCGGCCAGCTCTATATATATGAAAGTGGGTAATTACAAATCAGCCACCCAACTTCCTCTTCTAACACCCTCCGTCAAATTGATGGTGCTTGTGCAAGAAACCAGTGACGAGCGGAGGCCACAACCTTGGTCAAACTAGTCAGCTATCTGATCTTCAGATGTAATGTAAGAAAGAGCAATCACCCCATCAGTAGCCAACTGACGAATATAATACACATGAACCTTAACATGCTTCGTACGATCATGAAGGACAGGGTTGGTGGCTATCCGAATAGCACTCGTATTATCAGCAAACACTCGTATCGGAACATGACACATCACCCCAAATTCCGCCAAGAGACGCTGTAACCAAACAATATCCAAGGTAACCTCACTCATGGACCGATACTCCGCTTCCGTTGAAGATTTAGAGACACGGTCCTGCTTCTTACACCTCCAGGAAATAAACGAATGACCAACTTTAATACACCAGCCAGAAGTAGAACAGGTATCTAAACACCCTGCATAGTTCGCATCCGCATATGGCTCCATAACCGGGTCTCCACCAGAAGAGAAAACATCCCAACCGAGGGTGTACCCCTAAGATAGCGCAAAATCCTTTGAACCGCCATCTAGTGGCTCGTCCGCGACGCAGACATATACTAACTGACAACCTGTACAACATAAGCGATATCCGGGCGAGTGTGGGTAAGATAAATCAGACTCCCAACCACACTCCGGTAGGTAGTACCATTCGCTAATGGCTCACCACTCGATTGTCTCAATTTCAAATTCTGCTCCATAGGCGTCCCCACAAGGAGCACACTCATCCATCCGGGCTTCTTCTAAGAGATCAGCAATGTACTTACGTTGACTCACTGTCACATGTATCCCAGCTGCAGAGCGAGCGACCTCCAGTCCTAGAAAGTAGGACAAAGGACCCAACTCCTTGAGATTAAAAGACGACCGAAGAGTCGCAGTAACAGACTGAATGCCTTCTTGATCATCACAGCTGAGAACCATATCATCCACATATATAAGTAACAATGTGAGGCCGCGAGAAGTGGTACGAAGAAATAAGGACAGATCGTTGTCACTTTGAACAAAGCCAGCCTGCAAAATGGTGGACTGAAACTTCTCAAACCACGCTCGAGGAGCCTGTTTCAAACCATAGAGAGAACGTCGCAGTAAGCACACCATCGAACTATCACCTTTGACATATCCTGGAGGCCTCTCCATATAAACAATTTCCTTCAAGTCTCCATGCAGAAAGGCGTTCTTAACGTCATAACTGTAATAACGACCACCCCTTCATAGCGGCAACAACAGGAGAATACAAACCGTCTGCATTTTTGCTACAGGGGCAAAAGTCTCATCATAATCAATACCGTACTGCTGGCGAAATCCCTACGCCACTACACGGGCTTTGAACCGTTCAATCGTCCCATTCGGAAGCTCCTTAATACTTTAGACCCATTTGTTGTCGATAACCTGCATTTCCGGATGACGCAGGACAAGGTTTCACGTGTGGTTGGCTTCAAGAGCCTGTGTCTCCGTAGTCATCGCCTCCTCCCAGACGTCTATCCCGCGAAATTGCTTGTATGTGGCCGGAACAAAGTGCGGGGAAGTCGTGGAGTAAGCAAAAAGTCCAAGTACCGGGGCGGGGGAAGCCCCTTCGTGGCCCGATCCGAACGACGCAGAGGTTGAACGGGGCGATGACATCAAACTCCCGACGGAGGACGACCCTGCAGAGGAGGATGAACCCATTGGAGAGGAATGCACAACGGAAGGGGGAGATGGCAGATCACCCTCCTCAAGCTCCTCCGCAGGAGCTGGAAAATTTGGCAGAGAACCGAGGAAATCCAAGCAAGAATCATCACCACTGCCAGCCTTGTCATAATGGAAAACATTTTCGAGGAACACGACATGGCACGAGATGCGAATACGACGAGAAGAGACGTCATAACAGACATACCCTTTATGCTTGTCACTGTAGCCAACAAAAACACATTTGGCAGCCTTTGGTGCCAGTTTATGACGTTCACGATGGGGGAGTAGCACATAAAAAACAAAACCGAATACCCGTAACCAGTCATAATTCGGCAGGCGGGAATAGAGCTTCTGGTACGGACTTAACCCACAACAAGATCGTATGAACAGCTTTCGGCAGGCGGGAATAAAGCTTCTGGTACGGACTTAACCCACAACAAGATCGTGTATTTGATCAATACCCAATGAAACTTGTTCAAATTTCCATCACCACAACAAGACAATGAAAGCAATAATCAGATTACACCTCATGTTACTACGAATCAATGTATTATCTACTCCAACACAGATCAGACAGAGTAATACCTGTTGAAACTCGTTCAAATTGCCATCACCGCTATGTCAACATTATCTTGTAGGAGACTAGGAGTAGGGGATCCATTCCCTCGCCTCCCTTGGCACTGGCAGACGAAGTGGACTACACTATTGGTCTAGCAACTGGGCCCTCTTTTCTTTCTTTCTTTCTTTAGTACGTATGGATTTAGACCTCTTTTCGTCCCAAAAGTTTGGTAGGATAGGAAGCCGGAGGAGGAGGTCAAGCATTGTTTGGTAAGTGCCAAGTACGGCAGTACCAGGGATGGGATTGGGTGTGTGGACCAAGTTGCAGTAACGTAACCGAGATGGAGGTAAATTCCCAAAATATTGTTTTTTTATTTACCACCAATATGGTGCTTTTAAATCAATTGACACAGATATTGTGTTTTTGTAGGGGAAGAGCTGCGGGGTCGCGCGAGACTCAAATTTAGACGTCACAAACGCGAACCCGCGTCAGACTCATGCGGATGCGCACAAAAACCCCAACACGAGGCAGTCCTGTGCGTTTTCTCACATCTCTCTTTCTTATCTCTTTATATCTTATTCCCGCCACGCTCTCCGCCTGCAGCGACGCAAACCACACAAAACCTCCAAACCCCCCCCCCCCCGGCACCGACCACCACCACTCTCACGCGGGTCCGCGCCGCCTTCCCGCGGAACCTCGTTCGCCGACGCGGAAAGGGGCGAGTCACACGCGGAAGAGGCGGAGGAAGAAAGCAGATCTGTGTTTTTTGATTTTTGATGTCTAACTCCGACGAAGAACAGGCGGCCGCCGGAGGAAGAGTCTGTGGAAGAGGACGGTATCGAGGTGAGCGAGTCACTAGTCGGAAGCTCGCCGCCGCCGGCCGGAATCTCGCCGCCGGCGGTTTTTTCAGATCTAATTTTTTTTTTTGTGTGTGCAGTTCCTAGGCTTCTTGACACTTATTCCACGAGACGACCATGTTCGATGATTGATGCAGCTCCAGTCGATTCAGTACTTCTTTGGGCACATGGTCAACATCGTGCTGACTCAGTTTGGCAAAACGAGGTAAGTATTTTATTTCATTAAAGTTCATTAGCTAGTTAGATTAGAATTTTGTGAAATTAGTATTAGTTTGATTAGATATATTTTACTAAATTAGATATATTTTACTAGGTGAACTGAAATATTAGAATTACATGTGAAATTTTGTGAAATTAGTATTAGTTTTGATTAAATATATTTTACTAAATTAGATAGATTTTACAATATGATATGAAAATAGAATTACGCCATGAAATTGAATTAATATAAGTTTTGTGCACTATAGGCTAGTGATCGCGTTTACCAGACTCGAGGTACCATCCACGTTATGAGTCGTATCTCCAGGATGCCGGTTTGTTTAGCATTCAACAATTGGTCTCTATGAATTATTGTATTCATGCATCTTTGATCACTACTCTCGTAGAGCGTTAGCTTCCTGAGACATCGACCTTCCACATGCCGCTTGGTGAGGTTACGCTCACTCTTGAGGACGTTGCCACACTGAGTGATATACCGATCGATGGTGAGGCCGTCATAGTAGACGTACCGGATCAGGAGTGGTCGGAGACGTGTATCAGACTGTTAGGACATGCTCATAACGATCATAACGGGGGTGTCGTTAAGATTACTTGGCTCAGGGAGCATTTCAACAATCTGCCGCCAAATGCATCATCAGAGATTACAGAGCAGTTTACACGAGCGTATTCCCTATCTTTGATGGGGTGTATGCTGTTCCCCGATCGTACTGAAGCTAAAGTTCATTTGCAGTATCTACTCCTGTTGGATAATTGGCGGAGCGCTGGAGGCTACGCTTGGGGAGCAGCTATTCTAGCCTACTTGTACCGTGAGATGGGTAGGTCGGTTCTGCATATGACACAGTCATCTTCCACAGGAGGTGACCTTGGTGGCTGGGTCGCCTTACTGCAGCTCTGGGCGTGAGAGCGATTCCCATTGATAGCACCACGACATTCAGTGATGGATGACCATATTACAGAGGACGCATATCCACGTGGTGCTCGATGGCTTCCGGCCATGACCCGTTAGCATGGTGACCAGCTCTTCAGTTATAAGTTGTTTTTTGACAAGCTGTGGACAATCATGCTTAGTAATAACATTTCATACAAGAATAGTTCATAGTTCACATTAGTTTGTTTTAGACTAATGAGTAATAATGTGCCCACCTGTTGTGTGTAGTGGCTGCCTTATTGGGGGAGAGGCGAGAAGTTTAGGGGTTCTATGCCACAGTCAGATACCTTACGAGCAGTGGTTCCACGGATCTGCTTTTCAGTAGCGATGTGGCACCATCCAGATCGCGTACTCCGACAGTTTGGCATGATGCAGAACGAGCCTCATCATCCAGCTCATGAGGCTGAGATTAGGTATTTCCTTTGCCAGACAGTTCGCGGGCCATCGCGAGGGCAGCGGTTGATGCACGCCTCTAGAGAGTCGATTGATTTGTGGATTCGTCGACATGAGTATATAGCGACTATGCCATATACTCAGGATACTCTAGCCTGCCACTCGGAGCATCTCGAGTGGTATCGAGATGTTACTAGAAGTGCAATCACACGGAGAGCAGGAGGAGTTAACGCAACGGTTAGTTATTTATTGTTTCAAAATAAAAAATGTTAGTTGATTGAAATTCATAGTTGTGTGGAATATTTGTTATATTAAATAAATTTTTCAGTACGACACCTTTGAGTACGCTAAGCTGAGATTACGGGATGGAGAGTTGTCCACAGACGATAGGATGGAGTTGGCCGACATGATGGTGGCCAGGGTTGCTGCTCTATGTTTGGATTCTCGCTGATATCCTGATATGATGGTACCTGTGCAGCCTCAGCCATCTGAGAGCAGCCTTGCAGTTGGCCAAAGCGTACGACTCATAGACATGAGTGGGACGTGCGAGGACCACAACTCACACATGAGCTCAGGAGGCGTAGACAGCGATGTGAGCAGTGCGACGTACCTCACCTAGTGCGGATTTCAGATCGTCAGCAAGCACGGCCTGTCCGACCTACTACTACCTTCGACTTCATGCCACAGTTTCAACCGTCCTCTTCTGCGGGCTTTCATCCTTCTCAGACCTAGTTTCAGCCCTCTGAGACGCAGTTTCATGGGGAGTGTTCTTATGGGTTTCAGCCTTCTCAGACTCAGGCCCAGTTTACGCCCTCTCAGACCCAGTTTCAGCCACCAGCTGATAGCTTTCATACGCCACCGCAACATGTTATGATGGGTGGCGGCTACAGAACCTCAACCAGAGCAGCCTCACCGAGAGCAGCCTCGCCCTATAGATGGAGAGACACAATAGAGGGGGACGCTACTTTTATGGACGTGATGTGGCACCATAAGCAGTAGCTTCGGGGGCAGGGGTTTACCACAGATGCACCAGACAAACATCCCCAGTCTCAGATAGATGGTTTGTTCGGGACACAGGATCAGGATGACGGAGATCAGACTCAGCACGATGAGGGCAGGCCAGTATGGGACAGACATGCACTGTTGTGTTTTCATCGAAATGCACTGTGAGTGTTTTCGAACCCGTAATGTTGAAATTATTGGGAGGAGTCTGAACCACATAGATGCCCTGATGTCGATCAACCCCCATCACGGACTGTACAAATGCCTTTTGTGCCCACGGCTTCATCAGATCTTCGCATGGTTTCGTGTACTGTGACTTCCCACTTCTGATTTGTGCTTTTGTCTCCAACGTCATCTTATCGAATCTCTCCAATAATCGCCAATAAGTATGTTGCAAAAGAGAAGCTATAGGAAGTGAACGAATACCTTTGAAAACACCATTGATGCTCTCTGCCATGTTGGTCGTCATCATAGACCATCGAGGCCCACCATTATAGTTATCATGTGCTAAGCTCCAATGAAGTTGATTTTGATCCACCTAGTTATCACAAGAAATATTTCTTTGAAAGACCATCTTCTTAAATTGCTCAACTTGACGATCGAACTTCTCCAAGTGTTTTTCTCGGGCTAAAAAAATAAATAACCACAAGAGTTAGATAAATTCATGATAATATTAAATTAAAATAAATAATACTTAAAAATCAATAAAAATAACGATGAAGAGACTTACCGACTCAAAACAGTTGGTTATACATAATTATGCTTTTTTCTTCCTTTTCAAGCTGCTTGCATAGTGTCGCATGCACCACCTCCACTCCCAACCTCTTGCGATGTCACCCATGGCTTCATAGAGTCCCGCATGTCTATCTGAGATGATGCATACATCATTTCGATCGGTCAAACCTTGAACGTGATTTATAAACCATGGCCAACTTTCAATATTCTTGCTCTCCACGATGGCAAATGCTATTGGAAAAATCTTCTTCTGACCATCAAATGAGCTCGCCATGAGTAGCACTCCTTTATAATTTCCATTAAGAAATGTTCCATCAACAACCATGACTCGCGAAAAATTCTTGAATCCATCTATACAAGGTCCATAAACCCAGAATACTCGCTGAAAGATCGAATGACCTGGTTGAGCTGAAGGAACTCTTACCCAATCAATCACTGATGATGGCATTTTTCTCTTTACCACCCGCAAGAATGTTTGCAAATAATCGTAGGATTCTTCCCAATTTCCATGCAACTTCTCCAATGCTCTTTGTTTCCCATACCAAGCCTTCTTATAAGTAACTTGCATATTAAATTTATCTTTCATCTCGGCTTGCACAGTTAGAACACTCAGATTTGGTTGAGCACGTACAAAATGTTTCACGGACTCAGATATAACGTCGACATCAAGATGGCGATGATCTGTCGGTTGAGTCTTACTGCTACAAGAATGCACCAAATCGGCCTTTCTCACAGTCCATTCGCTTCCAACGTCTCGACATCTAAACTGCAGCATCCAAGGACAATTGTCATCCTTATGCTTCAAGCATCTAACCTTCCAGATTGAAGGTGACAACTCCACCACGTCATACTGAAATTTGCATTGTAGTGCGTGGTGTTTAACCGCTACCTGTGCAGCTTGTTTCGAGTGAAATATCTGGCCCTTGTAGAATTCCCCTTCGAAACCAGTAACAATAGGCATTGGAATTACCCCATATGAATCAACATATGATAATTCATCATCCTCTTCATTAGCTTGCAGGTAAAAATATGGAGGAAAGTTAGCCTGCTCTTCTTCCCCATCCTCCTCCTCCTCCTCCTCCTCGTCATAATCATGATCAGATGGCACACTCCATGTATCATCTTCACCCTGATCGGATTGGCTAATCTCAGCATGTATCTCAGCACCCAAACAATAAGGATTTTATGCCATAAAATCGAAAAGCACATTCAAACCATCATCATCCACAATAGGCATCACATAATGAAATAGAACACCATTCTGTCATTTTGGAAGACGGTAAGTGGAACCTGTGATCATATCACTATCTTGTACTGCTTCGTCTCTACGGCGTATTCTCGGGATTAGATTCTCACAAAATTGATGATATGTCACCTGACATGGAACTGTCAACTGAAACCTTCTACCACCAGCGAAATGAACACCTAAATTGTCCTCTACTTTCTCCGATTTCCACCAAACAATTAGTTCAAATTTCCTAAAATCACTACATAACAAACAAATTCACTAATTACTAACTAAAGAAAATTATAATAGCATTTTAATAATATAATTACAAAAATAAATGTGTCTCTTACCTAGCCATCTTTGTAGCAACCAACAGTGCTCCTCCCTCTCGTTTTCGTATAAGTTTTTGGTGTGGTGATACTGAAAGGAGGAGAATGGATGAAGATATATGCTGGAGTGGGCTAAAACACAGCACGAATCCACATGAGACTAATACGGGTCCGCTGGTCAAAGTTTAGGGAATCTGTCAGGGCACTTTAAAAGAGACCCAGCGTCTCCGCACCAGTCCCACGTGGGCCCGCTCTTTTTACGTCAAAATATAAATGTAGCGGGTCCGCATCAGTCTGATGGGAATTCGCTCTTTTATATCATCCAAACTTATTAAAATATTATTAACGAGCTAAATATTTCGTAATGCATCAAAATATTAGTCATTTCTACGTTATCATTAATAAATTTATAACTATTTTCTTAGTAAAATATTAAAATTTTGGAATGTTGACCTTCATGTGTCTCTTCCAAGTCAGTATCATGTTGCCAAATCAATATTACTAACAAAATTACTAACTGAAAATTAACATTTGGCTAATTCTTATTTTTTCGATAGGTTTGACTAATAAAAAAGAATCCGAAAAAATTGACTAATAAAAAGTCACTACCCTAAAATAAACTCAGGGGTCGTTTGGATAAATAATTTGTTGAGATGTGGTATTTGTTGATAAACAACGCATTTTTTTTGTTCATGTGGTATTTTAGTGGTAATTCGATTAAAGTATCTCCTTTGATAGAACCATGCAAATGTAGTATTTGACATCTGGTATTTGGGAAAAGCAGAATGGTAAAACGAGTTATTTTGAAATAACACAGGGTGAATGATGCTCTGATTGATCATTGTATTACCAGTAAGCTCAGTAGCTTAGACCGCAGCAAGCTGTGTGAACCGATAACTGATCAAGAAGTACGAACAACTCTATTTGACATGGACCCCTCGAAGGCACCGGGGCCTGATGGCTGGAACGCTTGTTTTTATCAGAAGAGTTGGGGGACTATTGGATCAAGAGTAGTGGCTGGCGTGAAGCAATTTTTTGCGGATTGTTCTTTACCGCGAGGTATGAATTCTGCTTCTCTAACCTTGATCCCTAAAAAACCAAATGCAGATCATTTGAACTATTTCAGGCCGATTGCATGCATCAATGTGATCTATAAAATCATAGCCAAGGTTATTGCTAATAGGCTTAAGACAGTGTTACCAAAAATGATAAGCAGGAATCAGTCTGCATTTGTCCAGGGTCGTAGTATTACTGAGAACATCCTGATGGCCCAGGAGGTGGTTCAC